CGATTCCAAAAACCCTCTGCAATCAACGCAACTAGAACCATATTTGCTGTGTGGTATTTTTTGCAAATTGTTAGAAATGCGTCCGTTCCCACGATGGGTCGACCTCACAGAAAAGCCTACGCTCGTGGCTCCCACACTGCATACCAATGAGCGTGCTTTCTATAGGCGTTCTGTTTTTATTTTGGTCACAGGCCTCTAGTCAGGTCTGATTGGTCCATATCTGCAGAAAGTTGCTCAGCTCTTCGAGGACTTTATCTTAAAGCGGATTGGACAGAATAGTAGCAACCTGAACGGGATGCTATAAATACACATAGCCTTTCAGTGAGTATCACTTGCTGGTTTCGGAAAACAGTCGGGCAGGCATACGCTTCGTGTAACTCACATCTACCAGAAAACGAAACAAAGGATGATGGAAAATAGTGACGAAGTACCTAATTATGATACAAATTCGGTAGGATTTCCACGTGGGGTCTTTGAAAGGTCCTTATGTATCATAGCCACCTACTTAAATGTTTAAGTAGGTTGAATTACCCATAATCTTCCAGTTTTCTGCACGCCATCCGTTGATCCAGCAGGGATTTGATGATGGCATTGAACTGCAGAGTGGTCTTCGGAAGGCCCACGCATACAAAAGCCGCTTTAGTCAGTATATTAAGCAAAATTGGCCTTCTTAATCGCTTACTTACTAATTTTAAATAGGGTGATTTCCACAATCTTCCCACTTTTGTACTACGTTAACCATTTTTCTGGTTGGTTTTGGTGGTACCACTAGAAAATGTACCTCAATGGCCTCGCCCGAGGTTGGGGCACACTCAACCCGACATACACGCGCTCGCCGTTGGTCCGATGGGGGTTAGCGATGATATTAAAACATGCTTCAGTGCCCCCGCCCGAGGTTGGGGTACGCGCCCCAACTTACCTTCGTAACTTTTTTTATTTTACAGAATAATTGCGATCTAATTTGTTCCCTGACATGTCTCACCTGTCCTCTCCCCTAAAATCATGAGCCTGAAAGACGGAGGAGCGCGCTTGGCGCGCTCCCCAGGCGGCCCTACGAGGTACTCCTACCACAAATTCTAGGTGGAAGAAGACACTGCATGTGCTGATATTAAATTAATTTTCATATTTTGGGGTTATTCGATATTGAGGCGCCAGTCAGCAGTTGTGTTTGTACAAAACTCTCCAGTTTTGGAAGGTTCAGCATGTTTGCAGACCGCGTGTTGTTTAAAAACAACTCACTAAATTAGGGCCGGCTCCCTGGAACGGGTCATATGGTTGATGCTCTGGACCAACATGGGGGCCAGATCAGGGCATGACAGACACTATTTTGGATCCAAAACGAATGCCACACATAGGTGAAATAGCACACCAAGGCACAGGCTCAGGCCGCGCCAACTACCTTTACCCGATCCTGCTCCCGGTCTTTATGTTCCGCCTTGCCACTAAACTCGGGCTATTGAGGAACATAAGAGTTCGGTAGGTGCTGCGCCAGCCTACTATCATTATAAACCAAGTTACCTGCACTTCACTGTATCTGCGCTCGCCTGGTTCTGGGGCAGAACATGGATGTCGTCGAACTAGCATACGAAGGGACTGTGTGACAGCTCAACCGTCTACTTCGATGTTCATAATATGCCCCGCGGCAGGATGGACGCAGGACGGTGACCTGCGTGTGACTTACATGATGACAGTTCAACCGTCATATCCGTGGAGCTCCATCAAGTGCATCACTGTAAAGTAGCACAGGCACGGTGACTTGCGCATGAATTTGATTACAGGGAAATTACGATTGCGCTGCATCGACCGCATTTTCTCCTGCTTTCCACCAGGGCCCGATGTCATGACTAAGTCAAGAGCACCAGAGGTCGGAGAGGGCGCAGGTAGTTGGAGCGGCTGGAGCCGCCACCAGACGTGCCGCCTCACCTGGCTTGGACGCCATGGAGGCCACAGTAAGGAGGAGCCAATGCAGTTTGACTCTCAGTCCGTCAGGCCCGAGTCAGCCCCTCAGTTGGCAACCTTTCGAACCACAGCTTGGTCAGTGACCATA